CCAGCCTTCTGGTTAGCAGTCAAGTGCCTTAGGCACTATGCTACCAGAGCTCCGTCTTTATAGGTTACTACAGTATTTTTGTCTCACTAAACACTGTGAAGGCGCTCTGGTAGCGTAGTGATACTGCCTCGGAAACCCAAGGAGGGGTCGTTATGAGTCAGATCCGAGTTGACAGCAGTGAGTTTGGTTTTTTTTAAAAAAACACTGTAAGAAGGAGCTCCAGTGGCTCAGTCATTAAGGCATTTGGCTGCTAATAAACACTGTAAGAGGAGTTCTGGTGGTGTAGTGGTTAAAGCATTGGGCTGCTAACCAAAAGGTCAGCGATTTGAACCGACTAGCTACAAGAAAGATGAGGCCATCTGCTTCTATAAAGATTTACAGCCTTGGGAACCCTACAGGACAGTTCTACTAAAGGATCACTATGAGTTAGAATTGACTTAATGGTAATAGATTAGGTTTATAACATTAGTTTAATTTTACCTGCTTTTGAACTTCATGTATATGGAAGCTTGCCATGTATTTTCTTTTGCGTCTTTCTTTTTCATTTAACATTATGTTGTTTGTGAAAGTCATCCATATTATTACCCTGAGCTGAATTCCTTCATTTTTACCTGGTTTAATATTCCATTTTAATGACTATGTATCTATCTGTGCTACTGTTACTGGACATCTGGATTGTTTCTGGCCGCATTTTCTCCACCTGCTCAAAGGGCATAAATATTTTCCTCACAGGATTGTTGCACAGAGCAAGTGAGGTAGTGAATAGGAAAATACCTTGAAAAACTATAGAACCACACAGATTTGAGGTAGTTATTTTGGTTATAGAAATCGAAGTTAGGAAAAGGAGATGGTAACTTGTTTAAAAGCCAAAGAAGACGCTCAGATGGTGAAAATCTTGAATTACTGGATTTGGCTAGAAGGAGGTCAGCCGCCTTAGGAATGATGGGTACAAAAGCAGAATAATTGTCAGAGGAGGTGGTGAAGCATAAGACAAGTAGTCAAATTGAAGCTGTAAAGTTAAGGCTGAATACAGATTTTGAGGAATCCAGATCCTCCCAACCACTGGTCTGAGAATTAGGTTTTTATAAGATGGTTCCTTGGTCTATTCCTCACCTTCCTGATAAGGAACACTGGTTATGCCTCTGAAGCCCTTTCCTCCTTCCTGGGGTCTGAGGTTCCCCATCCCCTCCCCCGCAAAAAGAAAGAGAGAAAGAAAAGAAAAAGATAATGCCCTTGAGTTGATTTCAACTCATACTGACCACTCCTTAGGTTCCTGAGATGATATCTCTGCAGAAGTAGATTGCCCAGAGGAAGTAGATTGCCCAGACTTCCTTCCGAGGAGTGGTTGGTTGGTTTGAATCACCAGCCTTCTGGTTAGCAGTCAAGTGCCTTAGGCACTATGCTACCAGAGCTCCTATCTACCATTTAAAAAAAAAAAAAAAAACTGTTATCAAGTCGATTTGATTCATAACAACCCCTCCTGGGTTTCACCATTAGTGTCTACTAAACTCAACTCACTGCCGTTGAGTCAGATCCAACTCATAGCGACCCCTCCTTGGGTTTCTAAGGCTGTATCACTACAGAAGTAGATTGCCAAACCTTCCTTCTGTGGAATGGCTGGTGGATTTGAACCTCCAACCTTCTGGTTAGCAGTCAAATGCCTTAGGCACTATGCTACCAGAGCTCCATTAGTGTCAGGAAACTATAAAGATGATGTGTTACAACCTGTGACCCCTGGATGGCACTAAGAACCTGCTCTTGGATAACTTTTCACTTAATCTCCTTAGGTATAATTTAGGAACCCTACATCCTATAAAGGAGCTCTGGTAGCATGGTGGCTAAAGCACTTGACTGCTAACCAGAAGGCTGGCGGTTCAAACCCACCAGCCACTCCTCGGAAGGAAGGTTGGGCACTCCTACTTCCGTAGTGATACTGCCTCGGAAACCCAAGGAGGGGTCGCTATGAGTCTGGGCCGACTCGACGGCACATAACAACAACAACAACAACAACATCCTATAAGGTTGGGCACTCCTACTTCTGTAGTGATACTGCCTCAGAAACCCAAGGAGGGGTCGCTATGAGTCTGGGCCGACTCGACGGCACATAACAACAACAACAACAACATCCTATGAGGTTGGGCACTCCTACTTCCGTAGTGATACTGCCTCAGAAACCCAAGGAGGGGTCGCTATGAGTCTGGGCCGACTCGATGGCAAATAACAACAACAACATCCTATAAAGCCAGGGGTATGTGGCAGTCTCAGTAGGAGGATAAATATACATTTCTCTTCCAGTCACTGGTTGGAAGCTGCAATGACAAAGCTCTTTTCTATTTCTCTAGGAGCTGAGCGTGGCTCTATATAAACACTTCCTTTCCCTACGTGATGGGGAGACCTGCTCAAATGCCTCAAGAGAACTCCGTCTGCTCTGCTGCGACATAGATCCAGTCCTGGTGGAGCGAGCTGAGAAAGAATGCCCTTTTCCTGATGCCTTGAGCTTTGTTGCTCTAGACTTCATGAATCAAAGGACCCGGGAGGTTCTCTTGAGCTCTTTCTTAAGTCAGTTTGGACGCTCAGTTTTTGATATTGGCTTCTGCATGTCAGTAACCATGTGGATTCATCTGAACCATGGGGACCAGGGCCTGTGGGAGTTCCTAGCCCACCTCTCCTCCCTTTGCCGCTACCTCCTTGTGGAGCCACAGCCCTGGAAGTGTTACCGGGCAGCTGCAAGGCGTCTCCGAAAGCTGGGCCTCCATGACTTTGACCACTTCCACTCCCTTGCCATCCGAGGTGATATGGCTAATCAGATTGTGCAGATATTGACCCAAGACCATGGCATGGAGTTATTATGCTGCTTTGGCAACACCAGCTGGGACCGAAGCCTTCTGCTCTTCAGGGCAAAACAGACCATAGAGACTCATCTAATCCCTGAATCATTGATAGAAGAAGGGAAAGAAAGGAACAGATTAAGATTCTGGAGACAGTGAGGTAGGAGGAGGGGAAGATCAGGAAAAGGAATAATTGAAAAAGTTCTACACTGAGAATTAAGATGCTTTGTTGGGCAGCCTCAAAACCTGGCAGAAGCCGCTGGCAAAATGTCCATTCATTCAGGTGAAAGAATCTGTATCTTCTGTTTGGAATAATCCCTGAGGAGAGTGAATCCATAGAGCAGTGAGCTGGGTTATCTGGATTGAGCTGGGCTAGAGAAAGTGATCCTGGTTTTGGGATCTAGAAGGGCCTATTTTTGAGAAGTTATGAAAACCAGGCTAGCCTTAGAATTTACCAGTTCCCTGGAATCCTTGAATCTGACCTGGCTTCCTCAGGTTTCTAGATTTATTGGACCTTCAGGCAAAACCTCCTAATAAAATCTGGAATGAAGAGACACTGGCCTGGCTAAAGAAAAGGTTAGTAGGAAAAGCATCTTATCTTTATACACTAGCAAGTCAAGTCCCCAAAACCCCTTACTGGCATTTAAAAGACATTTAAAGATTTAAATCATGAACCCAACACCCAACTGGTATAAATTAAATGAATAAAATGGTATTATATATGAAAGTATATGCAATAAAAATGACTTGAGTGTGGTTGAGAATGGCCTGTGAGTCTGAGGTAGATAAGTCTGCTTTTATCCATTCTACCCATGTGGGAGACTCAAGTTCAATTCCCAGTCAGTGTACCTCATGTATAGCCACCACCTTTGTCACTGAACCACCACTGTCCCCAGATGGTTCTTAGGTACCACAAATATAACATATCCTAAAATGAAACACATTACCCTCGTTTTAAACCTAATCCTCTCAGTTGGTGAGATCTACCTCAGTTGACTCTTTCCTCATATTCCCCGCACTGAAATAGTTACCAAGTCCTGTAAATCCTACCAATAGTATGTAAATCTCACTCATTCCATCCATTTGGTTGATATGTACCAGGGATTTTCATGGAAATCAAATTCTCCATTCTCTGCATTCCTGTCAGTATTCCATTTCTCAAATACCTAATTGTGTTAATTTTATGAGTAAAAACCTGCAGTGGCTTCCTAGAGTTTAGAGTCCTATCCTTTATCCAGTGTGTAAACCTATATTCAACCCAGTGGCCACTTCCTATTTAGCCTTTTCATGGTTGAACTATTTTCTGCTTTGAATGTTTTTGTTAATACTATTTTCAGTAATGGAAGGCATGCTGAAATCAAGGGGGAAAAAAGTTTGGTTTTTTGGTTTTTTTTTTTTTTTGAAGTAATAATGGATTTTGATACAATTATGTGGGACATATATGTGCCAAGTAGACTCTGGTGGTAGGACTGGTGGAATGAGGCCCGTTTCTTCAGATTCATGCAGTTATACAGGTGTATAAAAGTTACACACCAGGCAGAAGAATATACTACAACTAGATAGCAACTTCCCAAGAACCTCAGAGGCTGAAAATGGTGGGTGATATATGTCCCATGGGTCACAAAAGGGTTAAGTAAATAAAAAACCCACTGCCATCAAGTCAATTCCAACTCACAGTGACCCCCTTTGGGTTTCCAAGGCTCTAAATCTTTACAGAAGTAGATTGCCTCATCTTCCTCCCACGGAGCAGCTGGTGGTTTTGAACAATTGACATTCTGGTTAGCAGCCAAATGCCTTACCCACTATGCCACCAGAGCTCATTAAGTAAAATGAAATAAAATTTAAATTCAGTTTCTCAGTTTTCACTACAGTTGTTGTTATGTGCTGTCAATTCAGACCTGACTCAGAGACCCTCCTTGGGTTTCTGAGGCAGTATCACTACGGAAGTAGATTGCCCAACCTTCCTTCCAAGGAGTGGCTGGTAGGTTTGGACCGCCAGCCTTCTGGTTAGCAGTCAAATGCCTTAGGCAATACACTACCAGAGCTCTTCAGTTTTCACTAGCCACATTATTTCAAGTGCTCAATAGCCACATGTGACTAGTAGCTACTGTATTGAAGTGAATGGTAGAGAACATTTCCATCACTGCAGAAAGCTCTATCCAATAGCACTGGTCCGAACCACATAACATGGCTTTCATGTCTCTCTTATAGCAGCCACACTGAACTACTCACCCTACCACTCCCTCAGACTTGCCATGTCCTTTCAGACCTCTGGGACTTAGCACAAGCCATCCCTCTGCTCCTCTCTTCCAACTCTCCCATCTTGCAATCTGCTGGAGCTATTTGTCCAAAAAGATGACTTAAATTTACATTTTTTTGGAAAATTTCCCCAACTCTCTAGTACTTTGCAATTGTTCACTATGTTCTGTGGGGACTTTGCATAGAAGCCTCTATTACAGTACTTACCGTGTATCATTGTTTACGTGCCTCTTTTTTGTCCCTACTATAAGACTTATCTCAAGCCCAACTTAACTCTGTACACCTAGGCCTAGCACAGTGCCTGACATATGCCAAGCAGTCAAGCACTATTTGTTGAAACAACATATGAATGAACAAAAGAAGTCTACCCAAATTCAACTATTAAGAAGAAAAAGAAGGAGATCTGTGATTGGTCAAAGACTGCCCAGGAAATCATAATACTGGAGGAAAGTTAGAAAGTTGAAAGGGGAGTAAGCTTGGCTGGCCTTGGACATGGAAGTCTGAGATATATATGTTTTATCAAACATGCTTTGAGATAAAATGTTCATTTCAAAGCCTTTATTATTGGTGATCTGGGAGAGGGCAACAGATCAAGACTGGATATAAAAATTTGGAAATCATGTAGAGTGATGGATTTAATCAGTAGTAAATTAAAAAAGTAAGTGGATTTGATGCAGAATCTTCAAAACACTGCATAATATGCATGAACTTGGAGGACATTATGCTGAGTGAAATAAGTCAATCACAGAAGGGTAAATATTGTATTCATTATTGTAAAAAGTCAAGGAAAGGTTTATATATGGAAGGAAACTTTCTTTGTTCGTTATCCGGGGTGGAGGGGAGGGAAAGGAACACTGCAAAAATAAAATAATAATAGTAAATAGAGATAAAACAATAGAAAAAAGTGGATTTGGTAGGAGAGGACCAGGTCTTAGGTCTGAAGGCCACTGACAGTTATTGAATGAGGGGGAAAAGAGGAACTAAAAAAAGTTTGGTTAGGTACAGAAAAAAGAAAACCCTATGAGGTAAGTACTCTTATCCCCGTTTTGCAGATGTGGAAACAAGCACAGAGAAGTTAAGTGACTGTCCCAAGGCCACATATCCAGTAGGTTACTTGGGCTTTGAACCCAAGCAGTGTGGTTACAGAGTCAGCTTTAGCTGCCATGTCATGAGATGTCACAGAAATGAAGATTGGGAAGAGACTCCAGAGAGCCAGTGTAATGTAGGCAAAATGAACATGAATTTCAGAGTTACTGAGCTCCCTCAAATTACGTGTTCAGGCCTAGGAACAACGCAGACAGCCATCCTTAGTAATCCCTAATATTCTTAGAATTCCCCTCATAGAAGTCACCTAATCCTATGTTGAATACCTGAATTGTGCCCCTGCTGCTGCTTACAAATCAAACATGGCTGCCCTTCACGGCATGGTGGAAAATTAGGACTTGGCAACCACATATACCAGAGATAAACCAAATCCACAAACATCAAGTAGATTCCAACTCAATGACCCTATAGAGGTTCCCCTATAGTGTATGTATATACATACTTTATAGGGCAGAGTAGAACTTCCAAAAGGGTTTCCAAGGCTGTAAATCTTTATAGAAGCAGACTGCCTCATCTTTCTGCCACAGAGCAGCTGGTTGGTTTGAACTGCCAACCTTTTCATTAACAGCCGAATACTTTAACCATTATGACACCAAAGCTCCTACACCAGAGAGAAATGCTCTTAAATTGCTCTCAGACCTAGCTACCCTCACGCTAGCTTTGACTTGCTAATACCTTAACTTTCCCTGAATTCTTTAAATTTCTGCTCTTAGCTTTGACCCTTAGGTAGGACCTCCTGAAAGTGGATTAAAATCCATTTCATGCTAAGGAGGCAAGGATTCCATGGCCAACTCCAAGGTGGACTAAGATCTGAGGATCAACTGGATCCTTCCCAGTCTTCTGGAATTGAGTTTGGCCCGGGGATGGTGCCGCAGAAAGAACCTCAAGTTTGGAATCAAGATCTACAAGTAACTCATTGTATGACCACCTTGTTTATGTCTTCACCTCTCCAGGACTCAGTTTACTCATCTGTACAAATGAAATAACAAGACCTTTATTTTCCTATGCCTAGATGTGCTAAAGAATGTGAAGGTATCTTGTAGAGTATAGAGTGTTAAACAGAAACAAGGGGTCATTGTACCCTATGAGCATGCCATAGATTATGCTCAAGCTGTCCCAGACCACAACTATGCTTGTTAGACTAAAGCCTGTAAGAAAAACATCTCATTAAAAACATGCATCTTACATGTCCACATAAATAGAACTAACAGGGCGCAAAGTTATGATAACTTCTTAGCCATAGTCAACCACCCTGATGGAGTGAGTTGTTAGACCTGTGGGCCTGGGACCATGGTCGTGGGAGACATCAGGCTCAACTGGCATAACATACTACACAAAAATATTGTTCTACATCCTACTTTGATGAGTAGTGACTGGGGTCTTAGAAGTTTACAGGCAGCCATCTAGATGCCACAACTGTTCTCTCATCATCTGGAGAAAGAAGAATGAAGAAAAAAACAAAGATGCATGGGAACAATTAGTCCAAGGGAGTAGTAGACCTTACAAACTCAGCCTATATGACCATGAAGACCAGAACAAATAGATGGTGCCCAGCTACCTAGCACTGTCAACCACTTGGAAAGGGATCAGTGCTAGAGATCCTGACAGAGTAGGAGAATAATGTGGAACAAAACTCAAAATAATAATAATAAAAATAACAGGTTTACGGGTCTGATAGTACCTGGTGATACTCCTGAGACTTACGGCCCCTAGTTACTCTTCAGCCTGGAATTGAACTCACTTCCGTGGCTTCCAACCAAACAAAAGACAGGCATATGAGCTGAACATTTACATTA